CGCCCCTCTCTCTCTGCCTCGGGGAACCCGTGTGCCGTGGCCGACCGAAGCCATCCACCCTCCGAAACCCAGCCCCAGACCAGACAGACCCTCACACCTTGTGCTCCTGCCTTCGTGTGAAGGGAAAAGTTCAAGGTCTGCTCTGAGTTGCCACGGGATCCCGTTCCTCTCCCCAGTCGCCTTAACTTGGTGGTCCTGGTATGTCTCCATCCCTGTGGCCTTCCCCCTCGTGCCTCTCTCCATCTCCCTGGCCTGTGGGGGTTTCTTCCAAGCTTAAAGCTTTCCAGACGGAATCCACCAGAGCAGGCAGGACCGCATCATCTTTGTACAGAACTCCGCAAGAACCAGGAAACCATTCCTGGTATCTCATCTCAACCCCTCCTGTAGCGGGGCCTTCTTATTTCCTCTTATTCTGTCTTCAGTAAAAGAAATCTAGTGCCTAAGGGCCCACACCAAACAGCCTGGCTGCTGAAACACTTGTAAAACAATTAATGAACCCAAATTTGAATTCAAGACCTTGTGACAGGCAAAGCCTCTTGCATTGGACTGAATCCTACTAAGGATTCTGGCAGGAACCACCTTAGGATTCCTCAGAATGGCTCTCCTCCTTAATAACCACCTACCTTGGCATTATGGGAAAATCCTATGTAAATAGAAACTGGGGATGTATTCACTAACTGCTGGATCCCAAGCAGGCCACTAATCCAGAATCCCAAACTGTGAGTTTTCATTTCAAGAACTCTGGAGGTTGGAAGGAGGGATGATCATAAGATATTTACTCCATTCTAAATGGGGGAGGGGAGTTCTCCCCCCGCCCCCCCGCCCCCACCTTCCCAGGCAATGGAGGAGAAAAGAAGCCGGGCAGAAGTGAAGTGGCAAAGACTTCCTACATGAAAGAATTGCCTTTTAGGGGATTAGATTAGGTCAGGCCTTCAGACCTAGCAGGACAGAGAAGAATCAGCAACACCAGCTCCCAGGAAGTTACACAGGCAGAGGCAGAGATGGAAAAAAGCAGAAAGAGTAGACTTCCCTCGCTGTGCCCATCGAACTTCCGCATCCATCACCCTTTCCCCTCTCTCCTGAGGAAGAGCCCCTGGCAGGACAAAGCTGCAACCCGAGACCCCAGTCAGACTCCTACGCAATCCAGTTCTCAAACTCGAGAGCAATCACCTCCCTTAACAACTGAAAAAGAATGGGCTGGAAACTACAAAAGAATTGCAAATTAGGATCCAAGCTAAGGAGCTTCCCAAATTAGGCAGGTATTTAAACACAAAGAGGTGGGAAAGAGGCGGGAGATGTACTTTCAGAGGGATCTCAGATCATCCGTTGACATTTCTTGTCAACACAATGGCATATCCCACCCCGATCTCCCAGGCCCCCAACTCCCAACCCATTTGAAGAAAAGGAAAATTCACCAACACAAAACAAAAAGTTATTCATGAAGGATGCTTTAGAGTCCATCGAGTCTAACCCCCTTCATTCAACAAATGGGAAAACTAAGCCCAGAAAAATGACGCGGTCCCCACAGAGAGTAAAGCAACAAAGCCAGGACCAAGCCTCCTAACCTTTTTCTTGTGTTTTTCCATTCTGTGGCTCTCTTTCTCCTTCTTTAGTTACCAGTCCTGGTGTTTAACCTCAACCTCTTCCTTCTGGCAGCAATCTCATTCCATTTCTGCCTTCCTCTACCTCCAGACAGATAAGAACCAGATATATCTGCTCCATCCACAGGCTCAACAGACCACTATTTTTCTCTCCCTGTCCTCTCGTCCCCAACCCCCCTCTTTTCCAGGTTCCTTCTGCCAACCTCATTCCTTTCCTTTTTCCCTTCCAAATGGCCCCTGCCTCTCGAAGACCCTGCCTCATCACTCCCCTAACCCCACAATGCCTCCCAACACGCTCTGAGTTTGATAGAGACCAAAAATGATGCTTTGGCAGCAGTGACGGATGGATGTGATGTGCCTCCTACGGGAATGCTATTTAAAGGGGCAGCCTCACAATCCTCTCCCTCCAAAGTGACAAGAGAAAAGCCTGCTCCTCAATTTCTCCAGAGCTGCAAACTCAGCTCAAGTTAACTTCTGACTTCCTCAACCTGCAGCCTGGCCTGTGTGCCTGCTTCCTATTCAGGTGGGAGGAGAGCGCTTGACACTCACTGAGGTGTGGGGGCTGAGGGGGGACTCATCTTCAACTCTTTTGATGACAGCTACTTGGGAGAAGCAGGAGGCCCTGTAGGGGGAGAACTGGAAGAACACGCTTCCCCCAACCTCGTGAGTGCATTTCAGCCATGTGCCAGCTTCTTCCGAGAGTCAAACTTTGTTGGAGAAGAACTGATACGGGCACAGAGGACCTGTGTGAAGGAAGCATTTTCCCTAGCTGGAACCTCCCTCCCTCCTGGGGCCCGGTGCTCAAACGGCTGGCCCCCGTTCCTCCCAGGCCAAGGGCCAACAGGCAAGATCCCTTTGGCCAGGCTCTGGCCCCACCTGCCCACTGAACCGAACACCATAGTGGGGGGAGCAGTGTTTGTCCCGCCCAAAGGAAAGGGATCTCCTCTACAAGCGTCTCACCCCAGCCCCGTGGGAGAGATAATTCCATCTCACTGCCGCAAACAAGTTAATGGAGACTTTAATGAAAACACTGCACTAATCAAAATGCTGAGCCTAGAACCTACTCTCTGCCTGCAAGACAAAACAAACTGGAGTCAGAATTTCTCCCTCAGAATTCATTCCTCAGTTCCTTTTAAGGCCTGAATAAAATAAGCTGGGCATCTGATAGCAGAAGGCGGCTTATCGTGGATTGTGTCCCCAGCTGTCCGGGGTCAGAGAACCTCCTGGTCAAGGAAGCAAACTGCCTGAAATGCCAATGGGTCCCTTCACCTCTAGACACTTTTTGTTTCAGGTGGTGAAGGCCATCATGTCCAAACCTTCTCCTATTCGCTCATTCTAGGGTCTCTGGTTTCTAACAGCGAAAGCTCCCAGATGTGGAAGCAGTCTGGTCAGGTAGAAAACGTCGAGGATTGAGACACCAGACTCGGGTCCTGGGTCTAGACGTACTGTTAAACACGTGACCTTCATGAAATCATTGAACGTCTCTGAATCTGTTGACTGGCCTCAAATAGGGAAGCCTTCCCCAGCTACCTTGCAGAATTGTCATAAAAGTTGTGAAAGCGCTTCGGAAAAGTATACGTAGCAGAGAAGTGTGTCTGTAATTACATGTTTGTGAAAAGATATTATGTCAAATGACAACATTTTCTAGAAAAGGAGAACAGATTTGTATTGCCAAGCGTTCGGGAAGGCGAAGGGGATGTGGCTGTAAAAAAGCTGTACGGAACAACATTTTGTACACACAGAGGAACAAGAATAAGTAAAACTGGGAAAATCTGGATTAGATCATGAATTGTATCAATGTCAATATCCTGGTTATGATAGTAGACTATAATTTTGCAAGAGGCTACCTCTGGGAGAAACTGGTAATGATACATGAGAGCTGTGTTTTCCTTTTTTTTTTTTTAATTGGAGTATAGTAGACACACAGTGTCTCTGTGTTATTTCTCACAAGTGCATGTGGATTAATTATCTCAATAAAAAAAATTTTTTTAAGTAAGCTTTACACACAACGTGGGGTTTGAACTCATGACCCTGAGATCAAGAGTCACGTGCTCTAAGGACAGCCAGCCAGGCACCCATCTCAATAAAAATTTTAATTAAAAAAAAAAAGAAGTATCATGTCTACCCTCTACTCTCCCGCAGCAACTTATCTCTTTGTCCTTAAGAGGCTCCTCTTGGTTGGGCGTCCGACTTCGGCTCAGGTCATGATCTTGCAGTCCG